AAATGCAAGGTCTGGCCAGGGGCCTGTGAGATGCCGTGTGTGCTTGGAGCACAGGAATGAGAAGTGAGGTGGGGAAGTGGCTGGGCCACCTCACAAAGGGTCTCAGAGTCTAGGCTGAGAAACTCGGACTTGGTCCTGAGGGTAAAGGGAGCCAGGAGAATGTTACGCATGGTGCTGAGGTTGCATTCAACACAGCTGTGAGAAGAACCTGTCGAGGTCAGGCCAGTGTGGGGGAGGAACTGGAGGCCAGGGTACCAGGGAGAAGGCTTGTGTGGTGGTCCTGGTGAGAAGGAAGGGGCCAGAACTTCGTCTGGAGAATGGAGGGTATTGCCCAGCTCTTGGAGGGGAGTGCCCTCAGGGGGTGGAGGTGATGGAACTTGGTGCTTGTCTGACTTTGGGGAGTGAGGGAGTGGGAGGAAATGGGGACGTTCAAAGTTCTAGATGGTGGGACAAGAATTTTGTCTAGATGGTGTGGCTTCCCGATGATCATGTCTTGGGGGTGAGCAGGGGTTCTCTTTGTTGGGGAGCTGGGTAGGGAGGTAATGCTTGACTTTTGGACGGGGCGATCAAATTCATTCATTTATTCAACCAATATCGAATTGATTCCCTACCCTTTCCTGAGACCTTTGATAGATTCTGAGAGTAGAAAATTGACCAGGATGGAGCTGGGCCTTGGAGAGTGGGGAAGGCAGGCAGTCACACAGCAGGCAGTAGATCGACGAGGCCATCATGGATCGTGCTGTGGGATGTGAAGGAAACGAACAGACGGAGGACACCGAGCAGGGCACCTCGAGCTAACACGGTCACTAAAGGCTGCTGTGACCAGGTGTTCTGTGAGCTGAAACCTGAAGGCCAGGAAGGAGCCATTGTTGTGAGGAGCTGAAAGGAACATCACAGAGAGGGGAAGAGCAAGCACAAAGGCGTTCCAGATGGGAGAGGCCAGTGCATCAGGCAAGGGAGAGGCAGCAACATGATGCCCGGAAGGGAAGGCAGCTGCGAGGACAGTCTATGCAGGGCCTTGCAGTGTCTGGGTTTACTCTAAGGGCAGAAGGGAAGGTTTAGATCATAATGCACTGCGTTCTGTAATTCCTGGGCTCAGGCAGTCCTCCTGTCTCAGCTTCCTGGGTAGTTGGGACTGTAGGCAGGCACCACCACCTCTGCCTAATTATTATTACTTTTTTGGAGAGACGGGGTCTCAATATGTTGCTCAGTCTCAGAAGGGAAGGTTTTAAGTCAGGGAATGATTCTATGAGCTTAAAAAATCACTTGGAAATTGCCACAAGGAAGGGAGGGAGAAGGCCAGGCATGATGGCTTACGCCTATAATCCCAGGACTTTGGGAGACTGAGGCAGGTGGATGCTCGAGGCCGGGAGTTCGAGACCAGTCTGGGCAACACGGTGAAACCCTGTCTCTTCTAAAATTACAAAAAAGTATCTGGCTGTGGTGGTGCACGCCTGTAATCCCAGCTACTCAGGAGGCTGAGGTGGGAGAATTGCTTGAACCTGGGAGGTGGAGGCTGCAGTGAGCCGAGATCCCACCACTGCACTCCAGCCTGGGTGACAGAGCGAGACTCTGTCTGAAAAAAGAAACAGCAACAAAAAAACGAGAGGGGAGGGAGAGTGATGGAGGGAAGGCTGCTACTGCTATAAGCTGGGGGTAATTGGTGGTGGTTGGCGCTGGGGTGGCAGCGGCGACGGTGGGATTACAGGGAAATGTGTGGCTTGCTGACGGTCATGTGCACTGACCCAGTGCGGGCAGAGGCAGGTGCTGTCCTGGCCATCCTGCTTGAGGATATGTGACCTCAGGCCAATCACACGATCTCTTTGAGCTCTGCTTCCCTCATCTGTAAAACACGGATCCTCATGGTACTTTCCTTGTAGCTCTGCCCTGAGGATGCTGTGCATTTAGCAATGGCTGTTCCCGAGTGAGGGCTCAATAAATGGTGGTTATTGTTGTCATTATTTCCGGGGACAGCAGTGGGGGTGGGGGTTGTGGCCACTATAATGCTAATAGTTATATGGTCTGAAACTCAAGAGAGGGATTGTGTTAGTTTCATTGCGTCTCTATGAGTGAATACTTGAGGCTGGGTAATTTACAAAGAAAAGAGGTTTAATTGGCTCATGGTTCTGCAGGCTGTACAGGATGTGTGGTCCTGGCAGCTGTTTCTGGCGAGGGCTTCAGGAAGCTTACAATCATGGTGGAAGGTAAAGAGGTGGTTGGCATATGGTGGGGGGAAAAGACTGGTGAGAGGTGACACGCTTTTGTTTTTTGTTTTTTTTTTTTTGAGATGGAGTCTTGCTCTGTTGCCAGGGTGGTGTGCAGTGGTACAATCTTGGTTCACTGCAACTTCTGCATCCCAGGTTCAAGTGATTCTCCTGCCTCAGCCTCCCGAGTAGCTGGGACTACAGGCGCCCACCACCACACCCAGCTAGTTTTTGTATTTTTAGTAGAGATGGGGTTACACCGTGTTGGCCAGGATGGTCTCGATCTCTTGACCTCATGATCCGCCTGCCTCACCCTCTCAAAGTGTTGGGATTACAGGTGTGAGCCACTACGTCCGGCCTGACATGCTCTTTTAAACAACTAGATCTCGTGAACTCAGCGAGATCTCAGTCATTACCTCAAGGATGGCACCAAGCCATTCATGAAGGATCCACCTCCGTGATCCAAATGCCTCCCACCAAGCCCCATCTCCAACACTGGGGATTACATTTCAACATGAGATTTGGAGGAGGCCAGGTGTGGTGGCTCAACCCTGTAGTCCCAGCACTTTGGGAGGCCGAGGCAAGTGGATCATGTGAGGTCAGGAGTTGGAGACCAGGTGGCCAATATGGTGAAACCTTGTCTCTACCAAAAATATAAAATTAGCCGGGAGTGGTAATGCATGCCTGTAATCTCAGGTATTTGGGAGGCTGAGGCAGAAGAATCGACTGAGCCCGGGAGTTGGAGGTTGCAGTGAGCCTAGAATTGTGCCACTGCACTTTAGCCTGGGCGACAGAGCAAGACTCCATCTCCAAAAAAAAAAAAAAAAAAAAAAAAAATTGGAGGAGACAAACATTTTATCAGGGATCTGGGCAAGAGACTCAGGTTGGGTAATTGTCCAAGTAGACCAGGGGTTCTCAACCAGGAGCAATGTTGCCCCCTAGGGGACACAGGCAATGTCTAGAGACATTTTGGGGTGTCACGACTGGGGTTGGGGAAGGGTGCTACTGGCATCTGGTGGGCGGAGGCCAATGATGCTGCTCAACATCCTACAGTGCACGGGATGGTCCCCCACAACAAAGAGTGGTCTGGCTCAAAATGTGTGGTGGCCCACGCCTGTAGTCCCAGCTGCTTAGGAGACTGAAGTGGAAAAGGATCACTTGCACCTGGGAGGTTGAGGGTGCAGTGAGCCAGAAGCATGCCACTGCACTCCAGCGTGGGTGACAGAGTGAGACTCTGTCTCAAAAAATAGACATACCGCCCAGTGAAATGTTTAAAAAGTACCTTGTGTTCCAAACCAAATATAACTGTGAGGCCTTTTGGGCTGTTGGGCCTGCAGTTTACAACTGGTTGACAGTGGTCTCTGGAGTTGTTCCATAAGGCAGGAGCCACATGTGGCTTAAATTTTGATTATGGGAAATTATTACTTTTTGAGAGTCTCCCTCTGTTGCCCAGGCTGCAGTGTAGTGGCATGATCTTGGCACACTGCAACCTCCACCTCCTAGGTTCAAGCGATTCTCCTGCCTCAGCCTCCCAAGTAGCTGGAACTGAAGGGGGGCACCACTACACCCGGCTAATTTTTGTATTTTTAGTAGAGACAGAGTTTCACCATTTTGGCCAGGCTGGTCTCAAACTCTTGACGTCAGGTGATCCGCCCACCATGGCCTCCGAAAGTGCTGGGGTTACAGGCGTGAGCCACTGTGCTGATTATTGGAAATTTAATACAATTTAAAATTCAGGTCCTCTGATACACCAGCCAAATTTCAAGAGTGTAAGAGTCCCACGTGCCTAGTGACCGTCATAGAACTTGGTACCACTGCAGAAAGTTCTGATGGACAGTGCTCTAGGATGTAGCGGTGGCACCCCCAGGGTCCTGGGGCTGGCTGCAACTGTTACTCCTCTTCTGTCCCCCACTCCCAGCTGCACCTGCACCTGCAGATGCTGCTGCTGCCGCCCTCCTGCGAGGCCGCGGCGCCACGTGGCTGGAGGAGGAGCTGCAGCGGCCGCATGTGCAGCCCTCTCCAGTGCAGCTGCAGCGCCACCGCGCGTTGCTTTCGACGCCCGAGTCCTTCGCATGCGCAGCCAGCGCCTGGGCCTCAAGTGCCCCAGGACCTGGCGCAGCCCGCGAGCCCGCATCAGGCTTCCAGTGGGCCCCGTGGGCAGTGCCAGCCTTTCCCACCTCCGCATCTGGCAAGGCCTGGCCTTCGCTGCGTCTCGGTGTCCCCATGTGCCTTCTGGAAATACCACACCTCCCCACCTGCGCACGTAGCCGTCTGGCCCTCTGTGGGCCTCGGTGCCCGCATGTGCCCTGCGGGAAGCACACACCTTCCCCAACTATCTGGCAGCATCTGGCCTTCTCCGGGCCTCGGTCTCCCCATTTGCTGGGTGGAGAATCACTGCCCGGCCACATCGGAGCCAATGGCTGGCCTCTGGACCTCGGTCTCCACATTTGCCCAGCCGGCAGGAACATCCCTTCTCCCGCCCTCTACCTCGGTGGGTGGCCACGGCCGAGCAGACAGCGACGGCCCAGTGGAAAGAGGACAAACCCTTGTGGGCCTTCGGGCAAAGACGTAACTTTGCTTAGTCTCGGTTTATTGGCCGATCTCTTGTCAAGCGGCGGAATCGTTCCAGTCCGGAGGTGGGAGGGGAGCGGGGCCGCCGGGGGCGGGCGTCTTCAGCGAGCCCCGCGCCTCCGGTCCCCTCCCCGCAGGGCGCTCCGCAGAGCCGAGGGGTGGGAGCGCCGGCTCCAGGCGGCGGAACCTCCGCACGGGGCTCGCGCGCTTCCGGCCGGCGCCTTTTCCCAGGGACGCAGCCAACCCCTCGCACCCCCGCGCCCGCGCCCCCAGTCCCCGCGTCCCCGGCGCCGCCGGCCCGGAGCTGCCCGGAAGTCTCGGTTCCGCCGCCGGCGCTCGCCAGGGGAAGCCCGGGGCCGCCCGGGACCTCGGCCCGCTCCTCCGGACCCGAGAGGCCGCCGCACGGGGTACGGGGGCCGGGATGGAGGGAGGAGCCTGGCCCCGGGACGACGCCGAGGCCGGGCAGGCTGGGGGAGTGCGCTGGAGCCGCCCGAGATGGGGATGGGGGTGGGGAGCGGCAGGGTCGGGCGGAGGGACGGGAGGGGCAGTCGAGGCGCCAAGGCTCCTTGGGGAAGTGAGGGGAATAGGAGGGGCCCCGGGGCCGGGAGGCGGGGGGCGGTGTGTAGCGGGATGGGGGCGAAAACGCCCGGGTGCTGGGGTTCCCAGAAACAAGGGGAGTAGAGCAAAAGAACGGGCGGGGGCCATGCTGTGTGTAACAGGGAGAGGGATGGGGCTCCTGGAGGAGGTGAAGAAGAGAAGGAGAGATGCCAGATGTACACAGAAAGGAGGGGAAAGTGGGCTTGGGAGAGGTGCTGTGGGAAGCGGAGTCCCGGGGCCTGGTGCGCATAACGGGGTTTGGGAGAGGGCCCCTGATGGGTACAGAAAGAAGTAACGATGTCACCGCCATATATAGGGGCGGGGGAGAAAAGGGGGCCCTTGGGGAGAATGTAGCAGGTAGCCAGGTTGGGAGGTTGGGGTATACAGAAGGAAGGCATTTGAGGGGTGTATAGATGTAGTGAGACGATGGGTTCCGCAGTGAGTAGAGGTGGCTAGACTTCGAGGTGCTAAGTGTAGGAACAGGATGGAAAGGCCCTAGTGAAATGTGGGGAATTGGGTTAGTGGGGCTCTGGGGAGGTACCTAGAGAGGAAGTGAGGGAGGCCACGGAATATGAAGATGGGGAGGCCCTGTGGCATGTAGTGGGGATGGAGCCCCAGGAGGGCCTGGAAGCCGATGCGGGGGCTGGTTGGGCGGGGGGTGCGGCAGAGGGAGGGGAAGCAACCTGAACTGGGGCTGGGCAACAGGGAAAGAAGAAACCACAGATTAGAGAAATCTAGGCGATCAGCAGGGCCGGGGTGTGAGATGTAGAGAGGTAAACAGATTGAGGGATTGATTGCTGGGGTGGGTTGAGAGAGGAAAAGGGAAGAAAAGTCGGGGGACTACGCCCTCAGACCTGACCTGGGTGCTGAGAGGTGGATCCAGGAGTGGCAAGTGGTGGCGGGGTTTTGCAGAGCTCAATTGGATGTCCTCTCCGAGGCAGCTTGATGGAACGTGGGAGAGCTGGGCTGGAGTGAGTTGTTATTTTGCTGGGGAGGTGGTCAGTGGCGCACAAAGGGTAACAAGCAGCGATAGTGGGGACGCTTTCCATTTTAGGAAGCTTTTCCTAAAAGGAAGTGGCAATTTTAACTAATCTCCCCTCCGCCGCTCCCAGCTGCCGCTCCAGATGCTGCTGCTGCCGCCGCGGCCACCCCACCCTCGGTCCTCCTCTCCGGAGGCCATGGACCCACCGCCCCCCAAGGCTCCCCCTTTCCCCAAGGCGGAAGGCCCCTCCTCCACTCCTTCCTCGGCGGCGGGGCCCCGACCCCCGCGGCTGGGCCGCCACCTCCTCATCGACGCCAATGGGGTCCCCTACACATACACGGTGCAGCTGGAGGAGGAGCCCCGGGGCCCGCCCCAGCGCGAGGCGCCCCCAGGAGAGCCCGGCCCTCGCAAGGGCTACAGCTGCCCGGAGTGCGCCCGTGTCTTTGCCAGCCCTCTGCGGCTGCAGAGCCACCGCGTGTCGCACTCGGACCTCAAGCCCTTCACGTGCGGCGCCTGCGGCAAGGCCTTCAAGCGCTCCAGCCACCTGTCGCGGCATCGCGCCACGCACCGCGCCCGCGCCGGGCCGCCGCACACCTGCCCGCTCTGCCCACGCCGCTTCCAAGACCCCGCGGAGCTGGCGCAGCACGTGCGCCTCCACTAAGCTCGAGACCCGGCTTGAGCTGCCCTGCCCCTCTCAGGGCCACGAAGTCTGACCCACACAGCGTCACTCACTCCCACACACACTCCCTGGCTCCGCTGAGGTTACTGCCTTACCCTGGGCCTCAGTTTCCCCACCTTCCAAAGGGAGGAGCATCATTCCTTCCTTACCCCCTTTCTAGCTGTGTGATGTAGACCAAAGTCGTTGCCCCTCCCTGGGCCTGGGAACCAGTCGGAACTGGGTTCCGGTCCAGCTGTGCTGTGTGAGCCTTTGCAAGTGACATGACCTCTCTAAACCTTGGTTTTCTGCTCTCTGGAGCGGTGAACCGGTGGTTGACTGTGGGGAAGAGATGATAAAGAGCACGGGCACGGTCTGGTTCATTTCTGTATCTACCCCCCTTCCGCCCACGTCCCCTACCCTTTGCTCAATAAACATTCCGCACTTCATTTTCAAGCTCTTCCTTGCGTGTACGTGCGCGTTGGGTGCTGGGGGGTGGAGACCGGATCTTCCTCGCTTGGGTACTTTCCTCTCGGTGTGTGTTTCTGGCCGGAGCCGTTTCGCGACGGCCCGGGCGCCCCGCCCCCACCTTCCTTCCCTAGACCCTTTCCTCTCCCTTCGGCTTCTCTCTTTCGGCCGGCGCCGCCAGCTCCGGGGGCACACCCAGAGGTCCCCTTCCCGCCGCCGCCTGCAACTGCGAGGGTAGCCCGGGGCCGCTTGGAGTCGCCCGGACCTGAGAGGCTGCTGCACTGGGTACGGGGGCCGGGAGGAGGGAGGGGGCTGGGAGCGGGCGGCGGGAGGGGCTGGACCGCGTGGAGGGTACCTGGGCCGGGGCGGGAGTGGGGCAGGCGCCGGAGGAGGCTCTTCTGGAGCTTGCAGGGGGCGAGAACTTACACAGAAAGGCCCAGGAAGCGAGGGCTGTGGCCCCGGGGGTGGAACCCCGAGAGCGCTGGGACCTAGAACGAGCCCGGTGGTGGCCGGGCGAGCACTAGAGAGAGCCTGAGGTGGGTGGACGGGTGGGAGCACGGAGTTGTTCAGACATGTCGCTGGAGAGGGCCAGAACCTGGGGGTCCTCACGTCGGAGCCCCTGTGAATAGGTTTGGCTTGTATGGAGGCGGTCAGGAAAGGCTTGAGTATGTAGGATGGGCCAACACGCAGACCCTGCAAAGGGCTAGAAGGAGGGGAGGGAGAGGCCTGGAGGCCTGCGGGGTGGGGCACCCACTGACCTGGGAGGCCACAAAGAGGAAAGTTAGAGCGAGGTCCAGGTTGTGCAGAGCAGGTCAAGAGATCCTGTGAGTACAGTGTGTGGTGGAGCACCGAGGCTAGGAGAGCTTTTCCAAGGAGGGAAACCCTGGGGACCTTTTAGGGGGTCACAGAGTCCAGCTGTGAGTAGGACTGGAGAAGAGGGACTGAGGGCAGCAGGATGTAGAGGTCCTGGGCCGTTTAAAGGGAGGGAAAAGGATGGAGCCTGCGGTGCTGAGCTGCCCTCTTCTATATAACCTTATCCCATCTCCCATCCACCAGGCCTCAGCCAGCCCTCCGGATGCTGGTGCTGCCATCCCCCTGCCCTCAGCCTCTGGCATTTTCCTCCGTTGAGACCATGGAGGGCCCTCCCCGTCGGACATGCCGCTCCCCAGAACCTGGACCTTCCTCCTCCATCGGATCTCCCCAGGCTTCATCTCCTCCAAGGCCCAACCACTACCTGCTCATTGACACTCAGGGTGTCCCCTACACAGTGCTGGTGGACGAGGAGTCACAGAGGGAGCCAGGGGCCAATGGGGCTTCAGGCCAGAAAAAGTGCTACAGCTGCCCCGTGTGCTCAAGGGTCTTCGAATACATGTCCTACCTTCAGCGACACAGCATCACCCACTCGGAGGTAAAGCCCTTCGAGTGCGACATCTGTGGGAAGGCATTCAAGCGCGCCAGCCACTTGGCACGGCACCATTCCATTCACCTGGCGGGTGGTGGGCGGCCCCACGGCTGCCCGCTCTGCCCTCGCCGCTTCCGGGATGCGGGGGAGCTGGCCCAGCACAGCCGGGTGCACTCTGGGGAACGCCCATTTCAGTGTCCACACTGCCCTCGCCGCTTTATGGAGCAGAACACGCTGCAGAAGCACACGCGGTGGAAGCATCCGTGAGCTGGGCTGCCGGGTGCCCCAGGTACCACAGGACTTTGCAGGGAGCCTGGACTCCTGTCCAGACACCTGGTGAGAGCCCGAGGCTGGTGTTCAGGCCCCCGGACACAGACACAGAGCAGCCGCATCTCAAAGGCAGAGCCCTGCCTGAAGGAGGAATCCGTGAGTAATCTTCAGGTCCTCCGTGTTGTGGAGCTGAGATGGGAATGAGCTCCTACACAAAATGGAGTCCTCTAGCCTAAAGATATCAGCTGTTCCGTGGCAGAGCCTTGACTGGATGCGGGTGGGGAGTGTCGTATGTAAAGTCTCTGGCCTCATAAAAGATGGCTGTGGGTCATCAGGAATCTGTGCCATCTTCCTGAGGCTTCTGTGCTGTTGTTGGGGAAGGGACCCCAGTCCTGCCTTCCACCCCCCAACCAGGCCTGAGACCGATCAAACAATAAACGCGTTTCCCACCCTGAGCACTCGAGGTTTGTTTTTAGAGACGGCATCTCAGACCCTCTTTGGTGGCTGCCTAGCAGGGAGACCTCAGCTTGCCTGGCTGGGGAATGGGAAGGCTGGCCTGCCTTGGGGTTATCCCCTCCTCAGCTCCTGAACACCTGGGTCATCTGGGAAGAATGTTTTTAAGCTGAAACAATTTTAAAACCACAACCTCCTATCACAAACACATTTTATATGGTAATAGAGTACACAGATATGCAAAATATATGTGAACCAAGTTTCCTTCCCTTTTTTTTTTTTTTTTTTTAGATGGAGTTTCGCTCTTGTCACCCAGGCTAGAGTGTAATGGCAAGATCTTGGCTCACTGCAGCCTTTACATCCTGGGTTCAAGCGATTCTCCTGCTTCAGCCCCCCAAGTAATTAGGGTTACAAGCATGTGCCACCATGCCCGGCTAATTTTGTACCTTTAGTAGAGATGGGTTTCACTACGTTGGCCAGGCTGGTCTCGAACTCCTGACCTCAGGTGATCCACACACCTCAGCCTCCCTCAGGACCCTGGGCCTGGAAACAAAAGTTTCTTTACCATAGTTAGCTTTAGTATGTGTAGATTTTTTTTCATTAGCTATTATTATTTGAGATGGAGTCTCGCAGTGTCGCCCAGGCTGGAGCAGTGGTGCAATCTCCACTCACTGCAACCTCCACCTCCCTGGTTCAAGCGATTCTCCTGCCTCAGCCTCCTGAGTAGCTGGGATTACAGGCACGCACCACCACGCCCAGCTACATATTTTTTTAAACTGCTGATTTCATCCTATTCTATTGAATTCTCCACCCATGAACCTATAGTTTGGAAAAGACTAATCTAGGGCAGGTGGCTCCCCCTGGAATTTCTGGACCAGGCTGCAGTTTATTTGTAAAGTGAAGTGGGGAGGGGAGGATCATGGGTACAGCTTTGCAGGCGGTGCAGACGTTTAGATTCTCCCTCCATCGGGTTAAGACCTTGCTCTCCTAAGGGCTGGCCAGAGTCCAGAGCATGGATGCTTCTGGTGAACAGGAGAGGCAGGTGGAGCTGAGCCTGAAGCTAAATAAACATCTGCTTATTAATTCATTTTTCTTGCCTGTCTGTGCCAGGCACTGTGCTAGGCCTCATTTGCTCTTCCGACCTCTTTTTTTTGGGAGGAAGAACAAATCTTCCGTTCGTACTCCCCAGAGTGGGAAAGGAAAGAGCCTCCCAGAGGTTGCGATCATACCCCACCATCTGACCTCAAATAATACCAGCAGCGCTCCTCTCTCAAGCCCTGACTATGGCCAGGTGCTGGGCTGAGCTGTGTGTCCCATCACTGTGTCCTCACAAGAAATGTAGAGGGGCTTGTAATTTCCCCATTTTACAGGTGAGTTAACAGGCTGGGGAGGAGCAGGAACAGTCAGGACTGGAATCTAGCTCTGTTCCAAAGCCAGCTCTTAATTACCAACATGGGGGGGTGGTGGCGTGTTCCTGCCCCTCGTTTTTCTGGAGAGGGGTAACTCCCCCCATTTTGGCCCCCACATCCCTGAGAACCTTGGGGTCTGGCTGTAGGAGGTGGGGGAGCTCTGGGGAGTCTGCGCTGGCTAGTTCCTGAGATCGTTAAAAGTAGATTCTCCTTTCGCTCCAACTTTCCCGGTGTCTCACACACTCCTGCCTTCTCCTGGGCCCACTGGGCCCACCGCCACCCAACCCGGGAACCCCCGGAGGCTCGCCAGCTCTCCAGAATGGGAATTTCTTGACGTTCCCTGCCTGAGCTTCGGGGAGGGCGGGGGAGTGCCGTAAGGGGCTATCGCGCAAGTGTAGACCCTCTGCTTCTGCCGCAAACGGCGGGCCTCACCTGGACCAGGGGACTCTCCAACGAGGGGCGCTAGTCTGGCCCGACTGGGCGAATCCCCGCGTCCGTACCCGTTCCGTCGCTCAGTTCCACGACTCGCTCCCCTGCCGCCCCGCCTGTTCGCGGGTGGGTGGGCGCTTCCCTCGGCTTCCCGTGACACTTTGCAGACGCTCCCCGGCGCCGGGCATGGGCGCCGCCGCCGTCGGTCCCCGAGTCGGATTCCGCGCGCGGGTGGGTGAGCGCGGGGGGCCTCGGCCCCTCGGACCCCGGGCACCCGCGGGCGGGGGATGGTGACCGTATTTGCACCCCCGCCCTGATGCATTCCCCCGCTGGGATCTTTCCACGACTGCTCCCCCTCCCACCCCCGGGACAAAGGGCGGGGGCGGCGCATCCCCACGCGTGACCTTTCCCCGTACTGCGCACGCGCCCAGCCCCCACCACCGGGGGAGGGTCCGCACGCCCACGCGAGTGCGGGGGAGGGGTGTGGGGCCCCGGAGGTAGGGGAGGCAGCGCGCACGGGCTGGACCTCCTCCTACCCTGGGAAGTTGGGGCAGTTTCCCTCTGCACCTGCCTCTTCCTTAGGCCTGGCGGTGGCCCGCGATGAGAGTCCTTCCCCTTCAGGCCAGGTGTCCCTGTCAGGCGACCCCTTGGGGCACCCAGCAATTTAGGGCTTCAGCTTCCTTTTCCTTCGATACCCAGGAGCCCACGTCCCCAGCTCACTTCTCCCCTAGGACCTCGGTGGCTGGGCCCCCTGTCCCTGACTCTGGGAACCCAGGAGTTTGAAGCCCAGGCGTGTTTTGCCTCAGTCCTGGGGTCTGGGCTCCCTCCTCCCTCAGACCAGGGATCCAGGCCAGAAGGTCCTTCCTGTCTCACTTCACCTCCCCCAGGATGGACCCTCGAGTCCATCCGCGTCCCTCCATTTGTGGCTGCTGTTTCTGTCCAGTGCCCCTGAGGCCCTCGGCTGCTGGGGTCCGCAGGAAGCCACGCCATGAATGACCGGAGCAGCCGGAGGCGAACAAGTGAGGAAGCTGGGTCCCCTTCCCTACCCTGGGTCCCGGTGCGGTCGGTCGGCTCCAGGCTGCCGTGGTTGGGGGGTGGTCTGAGGGGCCCGGGACTTCTCTGGGGTGACCCGGGGCCTCTCCTCTCCAGTGAAGGACGATGAGACCTTCGAGATCTCCATCCCCTTCGACGAGGCGCCCCACCTAGACTCACAGATCTTTTACAGTCTGAGCCCCTCTCGGGGAAACTTCGAGGGTGAGCCGAGGGGGCGTGGAGGGACTGGAGTCAGCTGGGAAGCCAGGCCGAGTCCCAGGGTGTGACCTGGTCCCCCCACCCTCGCTGTGTCCCTAGAGCCTCCGGAGGCTGCGTCCCCTGCCCTGGCTTTGATGAACAGCGTCAAGGCCCAGCTGCACATGGCTCTGGAGAGGAACTCCTGGCTGCAGAAGCGCATCGAGGACCTGGAGGAAGAGAGAGACTTCCTGCGGTGCCAGCTGGACAAATTCATCTCTTCTGCTCGGATGGAGGCAGGTATGTGTGGGGTGCTCTGATCCACCTGCCTCCCTGTCCCGCTACTGGGTACCCGCTCACCCAGACTCGAGGCTCCACAGTTTGCCTGGCTGGGTGGGACCTGCCATGTTGGCCCTCTCTGCTAGTCCCCTGCCTGTTTTGGGCCCCCAGCCCCAGCTTCCTCTTCACTTGATGTCCAGGACCTCATCCCCATGAACTGTCTACTGGGGCCTGTCCTCCTGCTTTTTCCTTCAGCTCCCCAAATCCCATCAGCCTCCAGTGCCCTGCCATCTGCTTCCTTGGCCTATGGTGACTTCAGGACCCTGGAACCTGAGAGTCCCTCTCTTCTGACTCCTAGGGGGACCTTCCTTCATCTCTTTGGCCGAGAGGCCCACCCTAGTCCTTTGGGTTTCCTCAGGGGGCCCCTGATCCTCTTCCTGGCCCTGTCTTCTCCAAGATCCAAGAGTCCAGCCATCCAGCCTCCTCCTGTCCCCCCACCCGTCCCCGTGTGACACCAGGGGCCATCTTCCCACCCACCCTGTCCCATCCTTGGTTAATGAGTTCTCCTTCCTCATGAAAGACATTAAGGCTCTTCCTGTGTGGGCCTTTTTGGGTGGGGACCCCAGCAGGTGCTGTTCCTCAAACCCTGCCCCAGGTTCCTGGGCAGTCCCCGCCCACATACCTTGCTCTGCTATAATTCATGGCCAGAAGCAGCCGGGAGAGCTCCCATAGCAGCCCCCAGCCCCAGCCAGTTCACAGCTAGCATCTTCTCTTGACTGGTGGGACCCTGTGTCCTGCTTAATACATTTTGGACCCCAGCCGCATCCTCTTCCCCAGATGGTCAGGCCCTTTGCCAGACAGCCCACGTCCTGGAGAACCCACACTTTACCCCACCTACCCTCAGCTCGGCCTTGCTAGCTCCTTGGCTGAGAAGACCCCTCAAAAACTCCCACATCTCTGTGAATTCAACCTTTTCCCTCAAAAACTTGGGCAAGGGGCCTATGGTCTCGTGGTGTCTGTTACTGGGAACCCAGCATCTGGGGATCTGGCCTTCCCTCTGCTCTGGAACAAACCGCCTCTGACTGCCCTTGCCTGCCACTGTCTCCTCCCACTGATGGCTCCATGCTGGGTGACTGACTCCTTTGCACAGATGGTTTGGTCCTGCGGCCTGGGCACTTTCCCAGTGGGGACCCTGGCACCAGACCCCTCTCCTAAGCCGCCTTCTAGAGGACCCTGTGTCTGGGCCTCCGCCAGCCAGCTCCCTCTGTCTAGATGGAGGTGGAACTCATCCTGCTGGACCCAGGACCCCTGATTTCTCTCAGGGTCTGACCCCCCGACTCCAGCCAAGGCCTGGCCTGCCTCCTGGGTTTACAGAGGCCACTCTCCGGAGGTCCCACCCAGTCCCCAGAAATCTCTCCCTCCCCTGTGGGAACCGCATATACTCACAGGGGTCCTGAGGTCCCTGGTCGGCTGCCTCCCCAAGACCTCTTGCCAACCCAAGCCTCTGAGAAAATGCTGCACCCATTACTACCTCCCACAGACCCCAGCAGGCTCTACTCAGCCACCAGCATCTCTACTGTCCTCCCTGTCCGTTTCTTTAGGGGACCAGCCCAGGTTGGGGGATCCAGTACTGGGGACTGCAGCCTCTCTCAGTCCCAGGACCTGTGATGGGATGTCTGGTCCCATAGTTCACGTGTGTGTCTCTCTCCCCAGAGGACCACTGCCGGATGAAGCCTGGGCCCAGGCGGATGGAGGGGGACAGCCGGGGTGGGGCTGGGGGCGAGGCCTCGGACCCTGAGTCAGCAGCCTCCTCCCTCAGTGGAGCCTCCGAAGAAGGCAGCGCCAGCGAGAGGAGGCGGCAGAAGCAGAGGGGAGGTGCTAGTCGGAGGCGCTTTGGGAAGCCCAAGGCCCGGGAGAGGCAGCGAGGTGGGTGAGGTGCATGGCGCGGGCGCTGAGGGGCCTGGGCTGCTGAATTGCTGTGTGTCCTTCCCAGAGGCCCTCCTTTCTCTCCAAGCCCCTCCAGCTTTGCTGGAGAAAGACCCACCGGGTTCTGTCTCTCCCTCCTCCCTTGTAATCCTGGGATTACAAGGCGTGAGCCATAGCACCTGGCCTGTCCTGGGTCTACTTTAAGTTTTGGTGAACCCTCGAGGGCAGGGCCACCTTGGGCACCTCCTTAACCTTCATCGGTAAGAAGGAGGTGCGCAGTAGGACCTACCTCGGGGCGGGTGAGGCTTGAATAAGTGAATTCACCTGAGGCAGGGAGGTGAGGGTGATGGCTGGGCGTGGTGGAGAGGCGGGCGGGGGGGGGGGGTGTTGTTGCTGGGACCGCGTTGGTTGAACCCGGCCTCTCGGCTCATGTTCTCTCCTCACCCCCCTTCCTGGGCCTGCCTCTTCCCATTTCCCACTGGTCCAAGTACTGGCTGCGCTTCTTCCCCTCCTCTCCGCCCCTCCCTTCCCTGTTCTCCGTATCCTCCTGCACCGCCCGTGCCTCTGCTCGCCGGGATCCTTCCTTCCCATGGCCGTTTCCCTTCCCGTGTCCGCCCCCTCGGTCTTGGCCCCTGCTCCTCACTTCCGTGTCCCCGCCTCCGCCCCGCAGTGAAGGACGCCGACGGGGTCCTCTGCCGGTACAAGAAGATCCTGGGCACCTTCCAGAAGCTCAAGAGCATGTCGCGGGCCTTCGAGCACCACCGCGTGGACAGGAACACCGTGGCGCTGACCACGCCCATCGCCGAGCTGCTCATTGTGGCCCCCGAGAAGCTGGCCGAGGTGGGCGAGTTCGACCCCTCCAAGGAGCGCCTGCTCGAGTACTCCCGTCGCTGCTTTCTGGCCCTGGACGACGAGACGCTCAAGAAGGTGCAGGCGCTCAAGAAGAGCAAGCTGCTGCTGCCCATCACCTACCGCTTCAAGCGGTGATCGCACCACGCCTCCGCGCCTCCGCCCGGGCCTTCCTCCCCCGCCGACCCCGGCCCTCCCCAGGCCCCCGGTGGATGACCTGCGCCTCTCCCTGCCGCGCCCCTGCCCCTCCTCCTCACTCCCTGGGTTGGGGGCTCCCTTAGCCCGGCCCCCAAGCGCGACGGCCCAGGGCCGGCCGCAGCCCCTTCCCGAACGCCGGCATCCCCTTCCGCTTGGGCTGCCCAGCCCTGTCCTCGCCTGACCCCTTCCTCCTGGAAATCAACCAGGCAGGAGGGTGCCGCCCCCCTCTCGGGTGGGGGACTGTATAGACCCCGTCTCCGCCCCAGCCCCGCGGAGGAGCTGCCCACCTGATTCCCGGACAGACCTCCCCAACTCCGCGCGAGACAGAGAATTATTCAGAGAATTTAAATTAAAAAACGACGTGAAAATTTGGAATAAACTGGGCCTCAGCCTTTTCCTAGGAGGGGGACGTGCCTGGGAGGGGGAGGCCGTCGCCCCGACGACGGTGATGGGGTTGCTGGGGCTTCCAAGGGGGTGGGCGGTCAGGCGGGAGGCCGGGTAGGACAGGGTGTAATTAGCCCCCCGGAGGCAGAGACGGAGAAACAGCTGTGCCCCTGAAATCTTGGAGGCAGAGCTCTGGAAAAGAAGCGCGGACACAGCCGGGTGCGGTGGCTCACGCCTGTAATCCCAGCGCTTTGGGAGGCCGAGGCAGGCGGATCACGAGTTCAGGAGATCGAGACCGTCCTGGCTAACACAGTGAAACCCTATCTCTACTAAAAATACAAAAAATTAGCCAGGTGTCCCAGCTACTCGGGAGGCTGAGGCAGGAAAATCGCTTGAACCCAGCAGGCGGAGGTTCCAGTGAGCCGAGATCTGGCCACTGCACTCTAGCCTGGGCGACAGAGTCTCCGTCGCAAAAAAAAAAAAAAAAAAAAGTAAAAAGCGTAAACGCTACCCACTGGGCTACCCGGACCAGTGAGTGGCGCGAGAGGCGGGACTCGATGACCTCGAGCAGGGGAGGCCACCCAGCGGCCAGGCCAAGTCTGGGGGATTCTTCCGTCCGGCCGCCAGGGGGCGGTAACGCCAGATCATCTGTCTCCCGGAAGGACTGCGCGATCATCCATCTGTTGCGCCTGCGCGACGGGAGGGGCCGGAGCGCGTTGATGCGGTTGCCAAGACAACCAAAAGGGTGGCCGGATTTAACCGTTGGGGATTAAGCACTTTCACTCTAGGAAGGGAAAATCTCGCGCACGCGCAACGGGGACTGAAACCTGGTCCCCGCAACCCCCTTCACCGGAGCAGTGGGAGAGCGCGCCACAGAGACACTTACGCAGGCGCAGAAGCCTGTTTCCCCCTCACCCGCCGCTTCCACCCTGCGCAGGCGCAAAAAGCCGCGCTGGCAACCTCCGCAGCGGTCGCGCGCACCATTCACCCCTCTTGCTGCTTTTGTCTCGCGCAACCTTCTCAGGCCCTCCGCGAGGCCGGTCCTTTTTTTCTTTCACTTTCCCCACCCGGAGAGCCAGGTGCTGAGAACCGATACCTCGTCTCCTTCTCTGTATCCCTTCCCCTGACCCACCTCGCCTCCGTCCTCCCTCCCTTTTCCGTTCCCGAAGCCGGAAGGAGCCGAAGCACCCACGAAAAAAGCCGAAGCTGTCCCCGGAGAGTGAGGCCTTCACGAAGCGGTGGCGGAAGGAGCCGAAGTTCTCTGATCTGCGGAGTGAGCAAGTGGCATCTCCGGAAAGAGCCGAAACTTGGACTCGAGCTTAATCCCAGGAGGGGCCCGAGGGCGAGCTCCGGAAATCTCCGGAAAGAGCCGAAGGCCGGGACGGTTAGGATTGTCGGAAGTGGCCGATTGCTTGGACAGGGCCGGCGGAGAAGATCGGAGGAAATCCGTGGAAGCAGCCAAAGACTGGGACGGATTGAATTGTCGGAAGAACCCGAACTCGCAGAGGGGGCTGGGCGCAGTGGAACACGAGGACACACGGAAACCTCCGAACGTTGAGGAGATAATTTTGGAAAAGTTACGGAAACCTGGGAAGTCGGCGAAACCCTACCTTCGGGTGTTTTCGGAAGCAGTCGCAGCTGCCATCTGCGTCTCCTTCGTCCAGTGTCCGGAAATAGCCGACGCGCTTCGGAGCCAGGCTCGGGGGGAGGGGCAAGCTCGCGGGCGGGCGGGCGGGTGAGGGGGCGGAGCCCGGGCGGGTGGGGAGGGCTGCCGGAGGCTTGATTAGGTAGGAGGTGGCGAAGCGCCGGCGGCGGCCGGAAGTAGCCGAAGCCAGCGGCGGAAGTAGCCGAAGCGGCCGGAGCGGGCGGCAAGGCGAGGCGAGAGCTGCACAGGGCCCTACGCGGCCGCCTCAGCATGTCGGACTTCGACGAGTTCGAGCGGCAGCTCAACGAGAATAAACAAGGTGAGGGCGCCGGGGTCGCGGGGCGGAGGTGTGGGCGGCTCCTCGCGTCGCTCTTTGCCCCCCCGCCATTTTCTCCCTCGCTTCCCCCCACCTCTCACGGCCGTGCGACCCCCCCCAACCCCGGTTCCGTGGCGCGCGCCTCGTTCACGTGACATCCCCAGCGTTCGGCCGCGCGCTAGGCTAGGGGAAGGGGGCGGCAGGGCGCGGGCCCATGACGCATGCGCACGGCGGCTGTCCCCGTGCCCCACGTGGTCCTGCCGGAGGTGGCTCGGGGGACGCGGCGCGAGTGCGCCAGGTACCTCGACGTGAACTTTTGTTTTTTAAAATCTTTTTGTATTCTCTGAAAAGGAGATTATGTTAGGCCCCGTAATCCGTTCTTTTTCTCCCGCTGCCTTGGCACTTCCGCTTCCGGTCGGGCCCACGGCCGCGTCTCCACGCCCCCTTTGTTTCCAAAATGGCGGTTGTGAGGAGTCGGGGGGGCCCCCTTTTCCCTCCTTCACGTGGATGAGGACAGAGCTGTTTCGGGGGACTCTTGGAGGCCACGAGCCCGTCTCATACCCCTTTTCCTTTTTGCTGATTTGCTGCGACCTCTTCTGCCAGGTGGTTTCTGCCCCGTCTGTTGGTAGTGGGGCGCCTCATATTAACGTGTTGGGCGCATGTTCCCTGAAGCATCTGCATTCTTTGAGTGTCGGCACGCACACATCCTGCATATGCGGAACTTTTGGCGGTCCCGAGAATCGCGATATGGAGTGTTTGAGACAAACCTCAAATCATGTACGATCCCAAACTCGGGGCACCTGATAATACTCAGCCTCAGATCTCGATGTAGAGATAAGGAAACAGGTTCTGAGGGAGGAAGAGGGATCTGGCCCACTGCGCTAAACTCTTCACTTAACGGGGAAGGTGGGAGGCAGGTTCCTTTCAGGGTATCGAGAATGTGATGGGTGAGAACAAAAAGCGTGGGGCCCTGCTGATCTTAGGGATTCCGAGAATATTAGAAGTGGGAGAGTTGTTCCATGTTTCAGTTTGAGAGTGAAGAAACACAGGACTAGGGAAGGTTGGGGACTTGTTTCATTTCTTTTGAGGCTTCAGCTGCCCATGATCCTAGGTCGTTCGGAGGACGAAATGAGGGCTAAGGAATTTTCCTTTGAACCCAGGGGCTGTATTAGGAAACAGTGCCCTGGGGAAGAAATAACGTTTACTGAGGGTCTGACTCTGTCTTAGGTGATGGACTGTTCAAGAGCATAGGCTTTGGAGTTGAGCACATCAGGGATTTAGATACTTGCTTTGTTGGTTAGTAACTACTTTTAATACGTTTATCTTTCTTTTTTTTTCCTATTTGTAGACTGATTATTATTTTCTTCTCACTCGGTTTTGAGAAGATTAGTAAGGATTATAGTAACGATAGGTGTAGTTAAACTCTGAGCGCTTATGTGTGCCAGGCTCTTCGCTAAACTCTTAGCGTGATTTTATTTAGGGGATCCTTGTAACAGCCCTGTGAGGTCAAAATGATTTCCACCTCTACTGGGGAGGAAACTGAGGGCTCAGAAAAATTAAAAACTTTCTCAGGGCTCAGCTAGTCAGAGGCAGAGCTGAGATTAAATGGGGTAACGTAAAGTGTGTGGCATGTGGCATGTGGCTTGGTGTACACTAGGTGTGCAGTAAGCGATATTTGCAATTGTAAAATTCCATGCTTAAAGAGGAGGGTCTTCCACTCACAGAGATTGTGTCACAGTTGGGAAAGGGCAGGAAAAGGTGCTTTCCAAATGTCATTCTGTCACACAACACCTGAGTGGAGTAGATGTGACCCTCGTTTACAGAGAAAAAACCAAGTCTTAAAGGTTAAGTTGTTTTTGCATGGTTTTTGTTGGTAAGCAGAAAAGCAGGTACTGATTCTGAGCTCTGGCTGGCTGCAAGGCCAGGTTCCACTCTGCTGGGCCACCAAGTGGAGCTGATCGGGCCGTTCTTTGAGGCTCTCAGATGGTGCTTCACTGGTTCTCCCGGGGTTTCCCCCTTGGTGCTGATAGGGCCCTCCCTGAGACCTGGCACGGCTCCTGGGTTGCCGGAGCTGCTCCCATAAGATGACCACAATACAGTGTTTTGAGCAAATGAAGCTCTCTTGGTTTTTACCTGTCCAGCATCAGTGTGTGGGAGAGGGTTCTTGTCATAGGGGAAGCTCTGCCCACGTGTCACTCTGCCTGTGGGTCTTTGTGGAGGACGGATCAGCCTCTGTACCTGTCGGCTTCTGCTTCAGTCCCTTCCTCTGCTACCTGTGTCGATAGGGAATTTCCTTGTCTGTGTCCCAGGCACCCAACGGGCGTCATTGCTTTCTCTGCGTGGCTTCCTCTCTGCCTGCTTGCCTGTTTCAGAGCCTTAGCAGCAGGAAGGGCTCTTGGGGCTCACGGCCTGTCCATCTTACAGGCGTGGAGTTGTGCCCAGTGCCGTGCCTGCGTGCTTACCCTGCTGCTCTGCACTGCTGGCCTGTCCTGCCGATTGTTCCTCCCAATTTCAGTTTTTGATTTTGGGGTTTTTGGCCATCGAGGGGACAATTATATTGTCATTAGTGGTTCTAGCCAGACTTGAGTGTTCTGCCTGATCCACATTCAAGAGTATGACTTGGTGCCTAACTCACTGATGTTTTAGTGTTTACGTTCTGGTATCACCATTTCCTAGCTGTCTGGCCTTGGGCAACTGTGATCTCTCTGAACCTTAGTTTTCTACCCATTAGGTCAGCCCCCCGCAGTGTTTTTCCGAAACAGTAGTGAGGATTAAGAACAAACAAAGCTATTTAGTACAGAAGCATCTCAGTATTTGTTTCTGTTTTTTTCCCTTCTGGGTGCATATTTTTCTGAGTGTTGGTGGTTTTGGAATTGTGATGCTTTTCCAAACATTCAAATTGCATCACAAAAACATAAGACAAAACGCTGTGGGTGAGGCTAAAGTTTAACATCCTCCCTCAGTGCCTTTTCCTCCTCTTGTCCCCAGGGATGATCACTCCAGGAGATGCGTGTTAACATGAGCACCTTAACGT